AGCGGCTGGCCGCCCATACATGGCCGATTTGACGGTTCAAAGGATAATACAGCTCGAACGGCTACCCATCCAACCAGACCACCTCACCCTTATCATTCTTCAACCAGTGGACGCGATCTGGCGTGAGGCGAAAGGTGGTGAACTGGTTATTTTCCCGTCAGTTTCGTTGTCTTTTTCAGTTTGAAGGGCACTAGAACCAAGTTAAAGGGCGGGTAGCGGTAAACCATGATATGGGATCTCTTATTATCTGACTTGGTAAGAATTCGAGTCAATTTGCGGATTGATTGGTGCCGTTTCCTTGCCGCTATCTTGATGACTCTCCTCACCACTTGACCAAGGGCGGCTTTTGTGGTCGCGACTGGGCTGAGTCTGCCACCGAAGTCCCAGATTATTACACCTCAGGCAGATGTGCAATTGGCCGCTGCTGATGTCCAGCTGCTGGCAGACCAGCTTCTGGCTCATGACGCCGTGGATGCCGCCATGCAATTTTACCACGAAAGGAGAGATTGTATCCCTTTCTCGCAACTGCCTTGGACGAAAACTACCATGTGAACCCGTCTGTGAATCGACTCCTACGCAGAGCAACAGTCACATGACAAGGTCAGGTCACTGCTGAGTTGAAAACCGATAGCAGAGGCACGTATTCATCCAATATTCCCACTTCTAACATCAGAAAGGATTAGGAAACTGTGCAAACAGATATGGCGAAAAAATAAATGTCCGGATAATTTCGTTACACCCTGTACTGAAGTAGTTTTAGTGCCTTCGTAACATGTTACGAAGCTGTCAGAAAAAAAGCGTTCTGCCCCTCCAACTTTTGCTTATTTGTAGAACTTCGTTGCTTAGCAAACGACTATGTTGTTCGCATTGAGGAGCTTTGAAATGTCTGTGTAATTCAAAATGTTAGTTCTGTAATTAAAAGAATTGATTCAGTGTTGCACATAATCTAACTTAACAACCGAGCATTGCAGGTTTGACAGCTTTTTGCCCCACCAGCACCACCTTCGCTGGAAAAGCTCCACCCTTGCCTATGGGGCAAAACATAAGGGACAAAAACACAAAACAAGACAGATAAAAAACAACACAAAATGAACTAAGACAGATAAAAAACAACACAAAATGAACTCATTGCCTAATGAAGTTCAGTCTGGAGCAAAAACATAGGTAATAGGCATCGATGTCAAATTAGAATGAAAGATTAAAATCAACTTGACCAGGTCTTACGGTCTGACCTGATCCTGACTGCCTTACTTCACCTAACCCCAATTCAACCTAACCTACCACAACACCTGCAGAGGTACCTTCCTGGAAAATCACGCCCAGGGAGGTGTCCAACTTATTGGAATATTACCATGATTGCTTGTCAAAATGTGTGTCATCATGCTCTTGTTTGACAAGTGATGTATAATAAATGTGACATTCAAAAATGACCTCCTGACTGTTGAGTGATTAGAATCTTCAAATAATCAGGGTACAATGCTGTGCATCATAGTGCACACTAGTCATGTTGTTTTTGTGTAGGCCCTCTGCGCATTATTGTGTACACTGCCATGTGCACCTTAAGGAAAAAAAGTAACTAGTGGTGCATAAAAAAGGTTGTGCAATTGTGAAGTTCATGCCCTTGGTCTTGCTGGAGCCAAATGGCTATAGCTATAGCAGGATCAGTGAGGGTTGTAGACATGCTACATACACTGTGAATTGAAGATATTGGCACAAAGTTCACCCATAGGTAATTACTATGCTTAACACCTAATAAAAGAAGCAACATAAATGCCCAGATGATACAGCAACAGCTTTCTGGTCAACATCACACAAATTTATTGACATACTTTGCAGGTACATATTTACATTCATAGCAAGTACTTTCGATTTGATTCAATAACTAGGTGCTAGTAAGCTTGCATTTTTGTAGGTACAACAATGAACATATATTTAATCATAAAAAACTTTCTCGTGGCATTAATCACATACCTTTTTACCGAACAAGTACCTATCTACCATGCAATGATTCTAAATTTTGTCCGCAATGTACCTATATCTCAACTGACACATTGAAATTGAAATACCCTAACAAAACCTAGAACTGTACAAAAGGAGAATGCAATTCTACAAAAACTATGAAGTTCTGAAGTTATTCTCACATGCTGGAATGTTGAAACTCTACTTTTGTCGTCCATTTCCACGTTTCATTGAGCAATCATATAGAACTGTTTTCGCTCTTCAGTCATAAGCTTTTGCACAAATCTTGAATTTTTACACATCATCTTGAACCATGCTCCAGTCTTTCCAACAAGGTACTATGGAACATCAAAGCAATTTTGATTTGTTGCAACAGCTTCAGATCATGATAGGCTTGAAGTTTGTTACACCATTTGCCAGACAAACCTCTACAAAATGTGTATCAATTCCCAAACTAAGCAATTGATTATATCAGTATTTGCGGTTTCCACACAATGTTTCATAATATTATTCGATTTTTATATCAAGAGACCCAAATAATCCACAAATTGTTATTGAAACACTCCCACTTCAAGAGTTCACAGCAATCACAATACAAGTTCAGAAGCAAATAAACATTGCGCCAGATTTCGTATGAAACGCGCCATCATCCTGAAGTTTCTACCACAGACGGTAGTTCAACCGCAGCCGTAGTGCGAAAACCCCTGCCCACCTTACCCCACGGCGGAGCTCGGTTGCAATTTGTAAATACGCGCTGGTCCCACCCTGCAAGTAAAGGGAAGAAATTTCTTGAACACCATAAAGCTGCGGGGGTTGCGACCAGGATAAATGGTGGTTTCTCAGCCTGGCCGCAAACTTGGCTATCTCAACTCAAAACTAATGTTAAGGTGGGAGGGTCCCTTTAACGGTCGGCCAAACGAGCGGCGCGTTTTGTTGCGGCAGTGTTATGGCCGCTCGTAGTGTCGAGTTTCGGGAAGCGGTGAACCGTTGCGGCGATCGACGGGACTCGAGCATGCTATTGAGGTGATGTGTCGTGTTTTAGCATTGTTGTGATATGTCTTGGTGCAACCAAGTTGTCAGTATAAGGTACAGTTAGCCCGTGATTTGGTGTCTGAATATTCTGAAGCTTTCCGGTTGGGTAGCATTAGAATGCCCCGCGATATGCATGTCGACGTGCATTCACCAGCTTTATTGTGTATAAAGACGTCATTGTCCGCCCAAAAATATGCAACTGAATATTTTAAGTTTTGACTTTGACTACTGTGCCTGTTGCTTGATGCTTCCGTGCATGTGCTTAGGTAGGCTAGGCGCCTAGCCTCTGCATTGCTTTGCATAACGATTCCGCCTTAACACCATGCACCTGCGACTATCCTCCTTCTTAATGTCAAGCCAACTCACCTATATGGGAAGGTACACCTATGAATGTACTTACCTTACCATGAGTATACTTACTGTATGTACCATGACATGCCTACCGAACCATACTAGGAAGTCGTGGAGCCAACACGACCATATCATTGGTCGTACTTACATACACATATTGGTCTTATTTACACATACGAGGAGCTAGGGAGCCGTGGTGCCGAGTTCAGCTGTGTGTCGGTCGAGTAGGTACCCCTGTCACCACCGTCCCCCCCCTCTCTCTCTCTCTCTCTCTCTCTCTCTCTCTCTCTCTCTCTCTCTCTCTCTCTCTCTCTCTCTCTCTCTCTCTCTCTCTCTCTCTCTTTCTCGTCCTCCGCCGCTCCTGGTCGTTATCCTCCACTCCGAGTCGCGGCAACAATCAGCCGCCCCCCAATCAAGTGTAATTGAATGTTTGCCTTTCATGGGGCCTCCCGGCCTGGAGCGCGGGAGCGCGGCAGAACGCGGTGCTCCGGGAGTCTCCCCTCCTCCCCGGGGAGGCAGCCGCGGAGATGGCGATAGGGTGCCGCCGTCATTTGCTGGCTCAGATAATGGGGTGCACTCAGAAAACACTTTGAGAACATTTTTGAATAAGGGCTCATATGAGTGCCAAAACAGGGCTCAAATCTGTATGATTTTAAAATCGGGATCAGTTAGGCGCCCTTTTCGGGCTCAAAGTACATTAGCCCCGAAAGCGGCATCAGTTCGTCTTCCTTTTCGGGCTCAATTCGAGCTGCGTTTTAGGGCTCCATACCAGTTGGGCAAACTAGGCGGTGGGAATCAAAATATGGAGGCATCAAAATATTGATTCTCTTTGACCATATATGGGCATACGTGCAGACCATCACAGAAACGTCAATTCTTCAGCAACCGGCTATAATTTCAAGATAGTTTCTTCACAAAATGAAGAACAACGTTGAAGCTACCCGCCAGGCACGAAACAATAGCCCTAACCTCTTTGGTTAGTTTAGGAAAGCTTCTTGAAAATAATCAAGATATTGATTCATCACGGCGGCTAATCCCGGCGAGAATCAATATTTTGATTCCGCAAACAGCTGGCTAATCATTATTTTGATTCTGAAATCAGCTGGTTTATCAATATATTGATTCTGCAAACTGACTTTCTGCAGGCGTTTAACTCTTCAAATTGATTTATGGAATGTTTCTTGTGTGCAAATAATGCAAATTCAATAAATTCATGAAGATATTATCAGCACAGGATCGTGTAATTTTTTTCTAGACCTTATTCCCACGGTAGACCAGGGATTTTCAGCACTCACCCTGGCTCCCTGCTCAAAGCTGCAAGCCTTCGAGGGAATGCGTGAAGGGAGCCGTGCTGACCTTTGTATAGGGGTTGTACTGAGTTGGAGCCGGAACCGAAGCCCGACCATTTTACTCGGAGCCGGAGCCGGAGCTGGAGCCGATTTTTTTCCTCCGGAGCCGAAGCCGTCTGACATTTTCACGACTCCACATCCCTGCTTTGTAGTATTGATTTTGAGTAAAAAAAAGTTAACATATCGTCTTTCACGTGTTCATGAATGTGTTTCTACGCATCTGTATCCCGTCCCATTTCTGTGGAGTACAGTAAGAGATATTTCGCCGAACGATACACTCAGCCCGTTGCACAAATTGCACAATTTGAATGAAAATATGATACACGGATGTATTTGCAGTCGCAAATAATACGATGATATTCATAACACATTTCACAACGATCCCTGCAATTGCCACACATTTGCCATCACAAAGCCCTGTCGTTGATGCTCACATCCATATAATAATATTTGAAACTGAGACCTAACCAGTAAGACATACCGTGGACAGGTAAGAAAAAACAAATAAATGTCTGGAGAATGACCTCAACGTCTCGATGTTGCCTAATTACTGAGAGCGATTTTCGGTCTCGAACCAAATACATGAAATAAATATAAACAAAATTTGTACAGATACACTATAGGGTTTATGATTAGCACGGCTACCTAAAACATCAATCCTGTCAGGTTGAGCCACTTATGTCCACACCCAAAGCAGGTCGCTTTGGAACACCACAAGATCCCATATTACCACCGAAAACGGTCACCAATTGGTCTACTGATCAGCATCTTCAGAACATTCTCGACCGAAAAGCTATCAGTCCTGTCTGTGTTTTGGTTCGCTTCATTTGGGCTATGCGCACGTTTTTCTACTCCGGTTCTAGGGACGAGATAGCAGTCATCACGCGCTGCACCAGCTCGTTCTTTGACAGGTTGGTGACGCTGTCGTCATCCGGCAGGATAAACACGTGGCGCATTTCACCCTCGGCCCCGCCAGCCACATACACACTTCCTTACGTCATATTGTTTCTCGCCACGAGATCAAAGTTCAAAAGGTCGTGATGTAGGTAGTCTCCGCCCAGCCCGAGTCAGGTACTCCACCGGTTGGTCGGGTGCGGCCAGGTCCGCGCAGCGCCGCCCTACTTCGGTCGACGCTCTGGTTGACAGGGATGGCGTTGTCATACAGTTGCCTGTCGACTGAACAGCGATTCAAGACGCCATCCTTGACCCTCTGAAGCCGATCCCCGCAACGACCAGTGTTTGATCCTTGGTTGACCTGCAGCAAACAGTCAACAGAACACAATAATTAGGACATTTGTGGACAATAAATCAGGAAACTATATGTGTTATTATTCTACTTGTTCAGCAACTATTAATTTTAGAATATATTCAATAAAAAATTAAATACTTGATGTCGCTTAAATTTCCACTGAACGCCACCAGTTGCGCCAACAACTGTCATCTCATGCAGTTATATAAATTCTGCCAAAAAAGTAGATCTGAGGCCAGTTGTACCAACAGAAAAATAGGTGGCTGCTGGATTTTTTTGGGTCTAAAAGTTACTTCACATACAGAGCATGAACGGTACAGCCCTATCCGTTTACGTGCCCATCATGTTAACGCTCCATATGTGAAGCAGTCTTTAGGCAAAAAATTCCAGCAGGCAGCTATTTGTGTTGATAAAACTGGCCTCTAAAATTAACTTTGGCATGGACAATCCTGAAAATTAACTATCCAGCATTCCCTGGACTGACGTACATTAGACACATATAATTTTCTTGAAGATCACGCATAATGTAAATATGGCTTACACCATTCAGCAACTTGCTTTTGTTACACTTACAAATTAAAGTTGTAGCAACAATTGGGTGAGAGAGACACAAGCAGAGGCTAAAACATCCAAATTATGCAAAATACTGGACATGCACTGCCCCCATTTCATGAGTCCACCCAACAATTCTATCATGTGAGACAAAACATTAGGCTTCTTGTAACTAATTTATACCGTAACTTTTAAAGGACATCATATTTCACTGAAATACTACACCTAAGACATCATTTTCAAAAAAATATAGCTTAAAAAGACAATAGAAGAGTGAGAAGGCGTCCCGCGCCGCTGACGTCGCTACCGCGCCATGTTCCTAAAACCATCTCTTAAAACGAGTTTTCGGTAAGAAACGTTAAGATCACATGCCTGAAATTGAAAAACACACTTCAAAGTATCTTAAAATATGATCCATTGTTACTTACACTTCAGAAAAGGTCGCTTAAACAAAATAAAACCGGGAGCACTACGTTGCATCCAAACACCCACGACGCCGGCGCGAAGCGTATTTACAAATTGCAACCGAGCTCCGCCGTGGGGTAAGGTGGGCAGGGGTTTTTGCACTACGGTTGCGGTTGAACTACCGTCTGTGGTAGAAACTTCAGGACGATGGCGCGTTTCATACGAAATCTGGCGCAATGTTTGTTTGCTTCTTTGTATTGTTATTGCTGTGAACTCTTGAAGTGGGAGTGTTTCAATAACAATTTGTGGATTATTTGAGTTTCTTTATATAAACATAGAATAGTATTATGAAACATTTTGCGGAAACTGCAAATACTGATATGATCAATTACGTTTGGGAATTGATACACATTTTGTAGATATTTGTCTGGCAAATGGTGTAACAAACCTCAAGCCTATCATGATCTGAAGCTGTTGTAACAAATCAAAATTGCTTTGATGTTACATAGTACCTTGTTGGAAAGACTGGAGCATGGTTCAAGATGATGCGTAAAAATTCAAGATTTGTGCGAAAGCTTGTAACTGAAGAACGAAAACAGTTTGATATGATGGCTCAATCATACGTGGAAATGGACGACAAAAGTAGAGTTTCAACATTCCAGCATGTGAGAATAACTTCAGAAATTCATAGTTCTTGTAGTATTGCATTCTTCTTATGTACAGTTATAGGTTTTGTTAGGGTATTTCAAATTCATTGTGTCTGTTGAGATATAGATGGATTGCGGAAAAAAATTAAGAATCATTGCATGGTAGCTAGGTACTTGTTCGGTAAAAAGGTATGTGATGAATGCTATGAGAAGGTTTTTTATGACTTAATATATGGTCGTTGTTGTACCTACAAAAATGCAAGCTGACTAGCAACTAGTTTCTGAATCAAATTGAAAGTATTTGCCATGAATATAAATATGAACCTGCAAAGTATGTCAATAAATTTGTGTGATGTTGACCAGAGAGTTTTATCATCTGGGCATTTATGTCGCTTCTTACATTAGGTGTTAAGCATAGTAATTGCGGATGAACTTTGTGCCAATATCTTCAAATTACACAATGTATGTGGCATGTCTACAACCCTCACTGATCCTGCTATAGCTATAGGCATTTGGCACCAGCTTGACCAAGGGCATGAACTTCACAGTTGCACAACCTTTTGTCATGTACCACCAGTCACTTTTTTACTTAAGGTGCACATAGCAGTGCACACAACAATGTGCAGAGGGCAGGGCCTACACAAAAACAACATGATTAGTGTGCACTATGCACAGCATTGTACCCTGATTATTTGAATATTTTGACCACTCAACAGTCAACAGTCAGGAGATAATGATTGAATATCACATTTATTATACATCACTTGTCAAACAAGAGCATGATGACACACATTTTGACAAGCAATCATGGTAGTATTCCAATAAGTTGGACAGTCACCTCCCTGGGCGTCATTTTTACAGGAAGGTACCTCTGCAGGTGTTGTGGTAGGCTAGGATTGGGTTAAGTTAGGCGAAGTAAGGTGGTTGGGACCAGGTCAGACCGTAAGGCCTGGTCAGGTTGATTTTAATCTTTCATTCTAATTTGACATAGATACCTATTACCTATGTATTTGCTCCAGCCTGAATTTCATTAGGTAATGAGTTAATTTTGCTTTGTTTTTATCTGTCTTGTTTTGTGTTTTTGTCCCTTATATTTTGCCCCATAGGCCAGAGTGGAGCTTTTCCAGGGAAGGTGGTGGAGCATGATTGGAGGCGCTCAACCAGACGGCATAGATGCCTGAACGATTTCTGAACGCGCACTGATGCCTGATTCAAGCCACGCTGTCTTCATGCGGGGCGGCGCGCTACTCCCTAAAAGAACGGGAAGTGATGCCGATAGAACCCTCAATCATTCTGGGCTAACGCTTATGACTTGGAAAAAGTCGCGATTCCAATTCAATCGAAAACCTGTGGGCTCTTGTTCAGCAGGAGGTATATGAAGAGCCACCCGCCATAAGCACTGCTCAACTGCAGGCACAGGTTTAGACGGCATTGGTCTGCATCAAAGCCAGTGTGCTGGAGAATTCATTGGCTGAAATGCTCCAGAACATTCACCACTGTGTTTTTATGAAAGGTGGCTACAAGCTTAGTTAACCCGCGAGTTGCTGGGGGGGGGGGCGTTAAACGCCCCCACTTTTTTCGCCGGGCCATAGCATAAAAACGGCGCGCCGCAGGCGCGCCAAATTTTGGGTACCTGTAGGGAATTGATCGAAGTTTATTGTGACAAAGTTTCAAAAAAATCGGTCGGAAAATTTTTGAGATATCGAGGTTTTAGTGACGTCATGATTTCTGAGTTTTCGACCAAAAACGGCATATGTTCAAAAAATCATATAAAATCACAGAATAGGCATACAGACATGCCGTAAACGCCATTAGACTGCCAATACTATGATCAATCAAATGGCTATCTTCGATTATTGATTATCGCTCCGCATTTTCCATAATCTTGAACTGAATCCAGGCAATTTTTCGTGACTACTTCACGACCATGATACATGCATTTCTTAAATTGAACTTTTTGAGCCAAACGCGTACACATATGATAAAATGAATGTCACCATCGTGTTCTACGCCCCAAATTACCTATAAAACATGTGTCACAGGCTGCGAATATCAGTATTGATTTTCGGGGATATGTGCCTACCCGGTTGACCTGACCTTGACCCTGACCTATGCTTGACTGACCCCTACATGGAGCTGACACTCTTGTAGGCCTTATATGATGGATTGTGCACCGTTTGGACAGAGTTTATGACGAGAGGCGCCCATTGCGAAGTCCTGAAGTCCATGCTACTGAAAGCCCGATTTCAGGTGTTTGACCTGACCTTGACCCGACCTGTGACCTCAAAATTCAACTTTAAAGTACTCATCTGAAGCGTCTCGTCGCGCTCTTTCGTTTGCCGCCTCGTGCGTTTCGCTGCGCCTATTGGTTCTCGAGTTATCGGCTGGGGGCGTTTAACGCCCCCCCCCCCAGCAAACGGTGGGTGGCGAAATACCCCAGCAACTGCCGGGTTAAAAGAACAAGTACCAGATTGTTTTGCTTTTTAATTACAGCGGGAAGAAAGGTGTCCGGATAATTTCGTTACACCCCCTGTAATGTTCAAATGGTTGCCAAATTCTAAATCAGCTCCAAAAACTAGCCTAAAAACATGTAAAACTCGAAAAAGGAACCGAGGTCATCAAAGGTCATTGAGCTGACCTGACCTTCCGGTCACCGGTGGCCTTGACAGTTGACACCCACCCTAATGCATGGGACCAGCATCAAATCACATGTTTCAACGCTTGAAGCCACGTGAAGACTGCAACCGCGCGGCTAATGCGAGCCGACATACGCCGAATCGCGATTCGGGCCAAACATGGTCTCGAGAAATAGGTCACAGGTCAAAGGTCATTTGGGTCAGGGTCATGAAATTTTCAGGGTAGGTGTAAAATTGATAAAATCGGGGGCATTGGAAGTTTCGTCGCGATCGGACGGTTTTTACGCGAGTTACTCACGAAAAACCGATAAAGCGCACCCAAAAAGGCAGAAATATGCACATGCGATATCCTATACTGCGAAAAAAGTGAATATTTTTTTAACGTCGCCGACAAATTGTAATTGCCCTAAGCTCAGGCAGATGTATGGTAGAAAATCCCCCAAGTGAAATACACTACGGCGGAAATAAAATACCCTACGGCGGAGCTCGGTTGCAATTTGTAAATACGCCGGCGCGAAATGGCGGGAACCGGAAATCGTGGCTAGATACAAAGAAAAAGAATATTTCTTATAAATGAATTATACAACTAAATAACGCATTTTTTATTTTCTTTTAGACAAAATTATGAAAAAATTACAAAGGCTCGTCGTTAATGATAAACAGAGCAAGTTTTAACAGCACGTTTTTGTTGAATTATGGCGGCGAAAACTTTATGCCATTCGTAAAGGTACGCGCGACAAACGGCTGATAGCCATGCAGCGAAAAATTGAAGCGGGGAAGTTTTTTGTATTGACTTGTCGAAAAATCTCGCCGTCATGGGGGTTATTTCCGCCGTAACGGGTCGTCTGAAGGTGGGAATGTCCCAAATTGAATCAAAATATTGATTCTATGCCCATATATGGTCAAAGCTCCGCCCACTAGAATCAATATTTTGATGCCTCCATATTTTGATTCCCGCCGCCTAGTTTGCCCAACTGATATGACAAGTGGCTTTATTTCATCTTTGCTAAAAAAAATATGTCAAAAGTTTGATTCAACAGCCAGCTGCCAGGTTACGCATGACTTGACAGTTGATGCATCTACGCTACATCATTTCATTTCAGATCCTGTGAAGGTTCTGACAAAATCTGAGGTAAAAATGGCATTATGCAGTTTTGCGGAAAGACTAAATCTATCTCATTTTGTCTTCAGATTTTTTTTATTGGGACACCCAATTGAAATCCAATTTTAGAACACTGTGACACCATGCCTGTGTGCCAAGTAAGAGGAAGGGTCTACAAGTATACATCAAGATAACCAATTATGGACAAGTTGAGACTTGAGTCATGAGCTCTTATTTGTGGTTACAATACCTTCAACTGCATGATTTTGCACAACTTCCATACAGGCATCCAGACTGGAAAAGGTTCAAGTCCATACTTATTCTGGTGCTTGAATATGGCAGTTCAAAGATGGAAGGCATATGATGCTACAAAATGAAAAAAATAATTCAACTTACAAAAAATAGGTATTCATATCTATCCTAAACTAAACTAACCTAAACTTACCTAACCTAATCCAACCCAACCCAACCACCCCAACCAGCCCAGCCCAGCCCAACCCAGCCCAGCCCAGCCCAGCCCAGCCCAGCCCAGCCCAACCCAACCCAAAACCTACAGTCTAAAACCTAGAGCTAAAACCTGCAGCCCAAACTGGAAAACATCCATATGGTACGCCGGACGCCCGTGAAGCCGTCATGCGACGAAGTTCGGCGCAAGCTATTTTGCAATTTGCGCTGAAATTTCTGCATTATTTGCGCCGAAGGTTAGTGCCCTTTT